TTTCTGAGTTCCCCCAATTTCTTTTTGTTGTTTATTTCAAATTTCATTCCAGTATAGTTAGAGACTATACATTGTATGATTTCAGTCTTTTAAAATTTACTGGGGCAAAAAATAAAAAAATAAAAAAAATTTACTGGGGCTTGTTCTATGTCCTAGCATGTGGTCTATACTGAGAATGTTCCATGTGCACTTAAGGAGAATGCTGTTATTGGGTGGAATATTCTATAGATGTGTTTTAGATTTGTTTGGTTTATAGTATTGTTGAAGTATTTGATTTCCTTGTTGATCTTATATATATATATAATCATATATATATATCTTTCTATGTATATATCTATATATATATAGTTGTCTATCCTTTGTTGAAAGTGGGGTATTTAAGTCTTTCAACTATTATTGTTGTATTTCTGTTTTTCCCTTCCTTTATGTCAGCTTTTGCTTCATATATTTTGGGCTGTTTCTTGTTGCATATGTGTTTATAATTGTCAATATTCCTGATCCATTGGGTGTTTTATCAGTTATGCCACCTCTTTATCTCTAGTACACTTTTAGACTATTTTGTCTGATATTAGTATGGCCACGCTAGCTTTCTTGCGGTTGCTGTTGTATGATAAGCCATTTACTTTCAACTTTGTTTTATATTTGAGTCTGAAGTATTGTCTCCTGTAGGCAGCATATAGTTGGACCTTATTTTTTTTGGTCTGGTTTGACACTTTGCCTTTTGATGGGATTATTTAATCTATTAACATGTAATGTCATTTATATAGTTAGGTTTAGGTCTGCCATTTATTTTTGTTTCTATATATCCTCTCCTTTTTGTTCTTCTGTTCCTTTTTCCTGCTTTCCTTTGCATTGAGTGAATATTTTCTAGGTGTGACACTTTGTTTTCTTTATAATTTTTCAATATATATATTTAGTGGTTCTAGAGGTTACAAAATATATCTAATATATGTTGTATATATATGTAATAAATACTAGTAAGAATTTATTTCACATTTATAATAACTTAGTTGGGTGAGCTATAGAAACGTTTCTATTTAGCTCATTTTCCTCCCCCTTTATTATTTTGTACTATTATTGCTCTACATATTGCATCTAGATATGTTAGAAACCCAGCAATATCTTGTTATAATTATTACCTTATGTAACTTTATGTTTTTTAAAGAAACTGACAGAAGAAAGGAGCACAAGGACATATTTATAGCATTTATTACTTTCTTAGTTACTGTTTCTGGTTTTCTTCATTTGTCTTCAACCAAAGTCATTTCCTTAGTGTGATACAACTTTAGTCCCATCTACTTCCTTTCTGCTGTTATTCACAAATATATTACATTTTTATGTTATGGGTCCAAAAACATAATTATATACATATTTTTATACACAGTTTCTTTAAAAAAATTAAGAGAAGCAAGCAGAATTAATAGGCATTTACTTATATTGTCAAATTATATAATTACCTATCCCAGTGCCCTTTTTCATTTTCATGTGAATTTTAATTACTCCTGGGATCACTTGTTTTGAGCCTGGACAACTTTATTTAGTATTCACCATAAAATGGTGTGTCTGCTAGTCAACCAGTCCACTCAGTTTTAATCTGGGAATGTCTTTTTTTTTTAAGATTTTATTTATTTATTTGACAGAGAGAGAGAAAAAGAGGGGAGGGGAGAGAGAGAAGTAATCTCCCTGCTGAGCAGAGAGCCCAAATGGGGCTCAATCCTAGGGTTCTGGGATCCTGACCCGAGCCGACAGATGCTTAACCTGCTGAGCCAGGCACCCCTATCTGGGAATGTCTTTATTTTGCCTTCAATTTTGAAAGATATTTTAAATGAATATCTGATTGTTGGTTGATTTTTTTTTTTTTTTTTTTTTTGCCTTTCGGCAAGTGGAATATGTCATTTCACTGCCTTCTGGCCTCCATTGGTTTTGATGAGAGGTCAGCTGTTAATCCTATTGGGGTTCTCTTGTAAATAACGAGTCATTTTTCTCTTGCTGTTCTCAAGATTTTCTTTTAATAGTCAGACATTTTTATTTTGAAGTGTCTTGATGTGGATCTCTTTGAATGTATTCGAGTTTGTTGAACTATTTGGACATCTAGATTATTCCTCCTCAAATTTGGGGAGTTGTCAGCCATTACTTCTTTGAATATTTTTCTGTTTCTTTATCTCTCTGTTTCTCTTGTCCTCCCTCTCTTGTACTCACATTATGCTTATGTTGCTGTGCCTTTCAGTGGTACACATTTCTCTGAGGCTCTGTTCATTTTTCTTCATTCCTTTTTCTCTCCATTCTTTGGATTTAATAATCTCTGTTGATCTATCTTCAAGTTCACTGATCTTCTACTCATTCAATTTCACTGTTGAGCCCCTCTAGTGGATTTTTTTGTTACTGTATTTTTTAACTACCAAAGTTGTTTTTTTTAATAATATCTATCTTTCTAGCAATCATCTCTTTTAGATGATATCATCATACCTTCCTTCACTTGTTTAAGCATGGTCTCCTTTAGTCTTTTGAACCTATTTATAATGTTTACTTTGAAGTTTTTGATATTAAATCTGATAGCCAGTCCTTCTCATAGGTGGTTTTTCTTGCCTGCCTTTTTTCCTGTGTGTCATACTTTTCTTTTTCTTTGCATGTTGTGTAACTTGTTATTCAAAACTAATATATTGGGGTGCCTAGGTGGCTCAGTTGGTTAAGCATCTGCTTTGGCTCAGGTCATGATCTCAGGGTCCTGGGGTCGAGCCCTGTGTTGGACTCCCTGCTCAATGGGGAGTCTGCTTCTCTCTCTCCTTCTGCCCCCCTTCAAATAAATGAATAAATACATAAAATCTTAAAAAAATTTAATATATTGCAGCAACTCTGAATACTGCCCCCTGTTCCCTTGAGTGTATTATTGTTTGATTATTTTTTTTTTAAATGTCTGACTGGTTTATTCTAGTGAAATCTATTTTTCCCCACAGTGGGAAGCCTTTGATGTTGCGCCTCAGAGGGCACAACCATGGGCATAAGCTCAGCCACCCTGAGATGACAGGGCTCTCTTTTGACTTTCTCTGATTTCTCTGTTAAGCTGTGTGTCTCTTGGTATCACACCCAGGTGTTAGGCTCTACCTTTGCCAGCCATTTACCCTATTGTTTTCAACAATGCCATAGGGCCCAACTAGCTCCATAGTCTGATCCAATTAAATTTAGGCTCCTTTACAGGGATAATTTTTGAGGTTATTATTTGAGGTTTGTTCTGACATCAAGAGGGCCCTTCTTAGTTGTTTTTATTTCTGGTTTTCTCTGATAAACTAGAACTAGGCCTATGGCCTAGCTTGTATCTGTCATGAAGCTACCAGCCTTTTAATTGTTTTTGTTGTTTGAGAGTGCTGTTACCTTTGAGCTTCCCCACGCTGTGTTGAAATAAAGTCAGCTTCCCTATAGAGATATTTGGAGTGGGGATCAGGAATGTGGAATGCTTCTTTGTGGGCAATATCCCTGCTTTAGGAGTGGGGTACTGGGCTACCACCATCTGGTCTTATCTACTTCTTCCAGCATGAAACCTTCATCCTACAAAAGAACTGGAGTGAGGGAGAGTGGGGTCCAGATACTTTTAGTGTGCCATCCCTGAAGTAGAGCCTTCCCTTTATGAGTGGAGATGAGTAAAAGAAGCCTAGAAACCTCTGGATGCACTTGTCTCAAATTTGTCCTCTGCTGTATGCAGCTCATTGTGGGGGAGATCAGAAATGCTGGTGGCCTGCTCCTCCCAGAGAGATACCACAGCCCTCAACTGGGAGCTTGGGGGAGAGAGAGAGAGGGCCTTTGTTGGCCACACTGCCTGATCTGAGAAGGGAAAGGGAGTGAGTCATGGTTGAGATGCCACTGTTTCTTGCTGTGCTTACTGAGTTTTAGTAAATCCTCTTTAATAATGGTGAAGTCATTTTCTGTATGCCTTCAGGCAATTTCCAAAGACTTTAAATAGTTGTTTTTAAAAATAATTTTCACCAGTTATGCTTGCTTTTTGGGGAGCAGGTTTGTTGAGCTCTTCATGCTCCGTTTCTGTAAATGGAATTTCAGCTATGAATATTCTTGTTTGTGCCTCCTACTGACATGGACAAGAATTTCTTTAGATTAGAAATACTGGGTTAAAGAGTGTGCAAATGGGAATCAGTTTGGCACAATTATGTAAAGTTGGACAAAGCAGTTGTACCAAATTATATCACCATCATCAAGATGTTAGAGTTCCTGTTGCTGCACATCTCTCTAACACTTAATATTGTCATTGGACTTCTTAATTTTTGTCTGTCTGCGTATATATAAAGTGATATCTCACTGTGGTCTTAATTTACTTTTCCTCGTCATTGCCATCTGTGTTTCTTTTGTGCATTTTGGATATTTGTCCTTTGAACATAAGTGAACTAAAATTTGCTCCCATTTTGTCGTTTGTTTTTCACCTGATGGTGTCTTTTGCTAAACAAAAAAAAATTTTTTTAATATACTCGAATGCATCAGACTTATTTTATAAATTCTTCCCTATTCCAAGTTCAGAAAGATAATTTTCTACATTATCTAACAGTTTAAAAGGTTTTACTTTTTACCTTTGTACTCTTAATGCCCTTGGGGTTTTGTGTGTGGTGTGAAACTTTTAATCTTTTCCATATAAATAACTAATTGACACAACCTTATTTATCGAATCGTTGCTCTTTTCCTCACTAATCTACAGTGTCTCCTAGGAGAATTTGATATACATATCTGCATGGGTCTGTTTTGGAATTCTCCAATTTATTCCATTGGTTACTTTGTGTAATCTGGTTCCATTACCATTACCACCACCTTGATGTCATGAAGGAAAAGTGTTTTGGCCCCTTTTAAGTAGCATAATAATTAGTATACATGGAATTCAGTATGTATTAATCACTTATTCAGAGCATTTTACAGTGTTGAAAGAAATGGTCAGAACACAAAATACATGATGATTGTTTCATTTATTAGCTTAGAAGTCAGATTTTGCTTTCTTTTACCTTTAGGAACAGTTTTGATCAAAAGTAACAGTGGCCAGTTGATGTTGGTATCTCCTCAGCAAGCTGTGACGAGAGCAGAGACCTCTACTAATATAACTTCAAGGCCAGCTGTACCAACGAATACTCATACAGTCAAAATCTGTACAATGCCGGTAATATACCTTAGTTTTTTTTTTTATCTTTTATTATTAGTTTTTTTATCCTCCTTAATTTTCCAGCTGTTTTCTTCCTATAAATGTGTGTGTATTTGTCAATAAAAATAATAGATGATTCTGTTCAACTTTTTTAATTAAGCCACTTTCTTTGAACATGTTAATTAAGGTGTTTGGTTTTGTCATTTGGTATTTGCTAAAATACTAATGATTCAGTCCTCATATTCAAAGATTTTATAGTCCTCAAGGGAGTGTTCAAGGGCTATTTGTATCTCTAAATGGAAAGAAAATAACCATTGTTTCAATTTTAATTGGTGGTATAAAATATTAACACTACAGGTTATGGTATTCATTTTTATACATATCTTAGAGGACTGACTTTTAAGAAATTCAGAAATCTGTAATATTTCATTAGTTGGTGTTGTTAGAAAATGGTTAATTTTACATACATGATAATTTTTTCCAGGTAACTAACTAAAATTTATCTTGTGTGCCAGAGGTTAAAAAAAATTTTTTTTTACAAGAAAAAGAAAAAATAACAATAAAAAAAATTTTTAATGGCGTCTTTCTCTGGTAAAATAAAAAATGCTGAATGTGGTATAACATTTCCTTGATGAGTCAGACTCACCCTAATGAAGGATTGCATAGTATTCTGTGGTAATATTTGCTGCCAGTTCTGTCTGCTCCCAGACTAGCCCCCATCTTGTGCTTTCCTAGTATTTGGTTCTAGGTTCTCGACCATTTTCTCTGTTACTGTATCTTTCGATGACAGCTTCTCCTTTCCTTTCTAATTTGCTTTATCTAACTCCTGTGAGTTGAGAAGATAGGTTAGCAGATTTTTGTTTATAATTAGATGTTAAATAAGAATCCATTTATTTTCTCTTTCAGCCAAAGAGTAAAGTTCAAGATTTTAATGCTAAAATACTGTGATATTTATTTATTAAATCAGTTGCCTCCTTAGGAATACGAAATGGGTGTCAGTTGGCCAGTTGACCAGTTAGGTTCATAGTGGAGAATGTGCTTAAAATCTCTAAGGTTTTAAAGCCAGTTATAACAAGTTTGCTCTGGTGAAGTGTTTTAATGTTTAATGTTTACAGTAGTACTGATTGATCTAAAATTACTAATGCTGATGACTCTATTTAATCTCTCCTCGCTCCCCTCTCCACCCCCCAGAATTCTAGTTCACAGTTAATTAAGAAAGTGGCAGTAGCACCTGTCAAAAAATTGGCACAAATAGGAACTACTGTTGTAACTACTGTTCCGAAGCCTTCCTCAGTACAAGTAAGTTGTGACTGACTTCTGTCCATGCACGCACTGGTTTTTCTCTCACCTTTCTTTTTCATGTAGCTATTTTCTGCCAGATGTTTAAGTGTGACATCTGGACACCATGTGACCTTGAAGAAAGCAATTCAGTGAGACTTGGTGACACTTTCAAAGTGGGAACTGTTGGAGCTGTGGAAAACACAAGATAAACATGGTGTATGTTCTTGGAATATCAGTTTTACTTGAATGTAATAAATTATTACAAATGCATCTAATAGCCATGTGTCAGAGGGTCTAGAAGCAGTTGTCAGGACAGAATTTTGGCATAGGAGTTATTTATTAATTATCGATATCTGTGGAAGGGAAGGAGAATAAGACTTTGAACTAGATGCAGGCCCAGTAAAGCCTCTGCCAACTGGGTGGAGAACATTGGAGGAAATAATGGCCTGTTGTTCTACTGTGTGCCAGCATTGGTCAGCTGGGCCTTAATTCCCCCTCTGTGATAAGTCACTGGATGTCAACTCCACAGGGAGAGTTGTGCTGTTGGGCAAGGTAATTCTTTATAGTTGAGACAAACCCTGAAAGAACTGACATCTGTGGGCTATATAATAGCATTCCCAACAGCTGGGACAAAACAGATTTCTTTGTAATGGTATATCACAATTTACTCCTTGTGTCACTGGGATCTACTTCCTTAAACATGTTAAAGACCAGATCTTTTGGGATTCCAGTGGGTTTCTTCCTTGGGGAAACAAAGAAGAGGAGGTTACTAGGATGAACTACAGTCTTCACCACTGTTGCTGATCCTCATCATCTCCCTCCTTCACTCTCCTCTTCATTCTAGATTCTCTCTGTTCTCAATTAAGAACTCTGCTGGTCTTGGCAAGTTAACTGGTAGTGTGACCAGACCTTCATCCCTGAGCGATCTGAGGTCCTACTCACCATGCTCTCTTGAGACATGGTGATCATAACAACTGGGCAAAGAAATACCAGCAGGCGCTTAAGTGGGTCACCTGGATTCACCGCACATGTTCTTCCTCAGTCTCCATTGTGTAATAGCAATCCTACCTATTCCAGATGTCAGGTCAACTACCCCTGCCATGATAATGATTCTTTACTGTTCCTTAGACACTAGGAACCTGAAGTACCCAGGAGGCAGCCATGGTATCTAGCTTATGGGAACTCTTGCTGTTTTCTCTGGTGAAAGTGTGTCCCCTGGGGGCAGAAATGGGAAGCACAGGGTCCCCCATTGCATCTTTGGGAGTGATGATAAGTGGTTCCATTCATCCCTCTGCTCCTCTACTCCTTGGTTTTCATGTATTTGTCCTATCGGAGACATAGTACCATAGAGAGTTTCTTGATACAGCTTACACTGAATCTTGGAGGATGGAATTCCATCTTCATTGAGTATTGCCTGAGTTTGCACTTCACCTGTGTCCTCTGCAGGCTGTTCTGATACTTTACTAGGCTGCCGGCTTCTAGGTCATGCCCTCCAGACGTTCATAATCAGTGCCAGTGTGGTCTTGCAAAGCATGGAAATAGAATGGGCTGGGCTACAATATCAGGAGTTATGATTGAGTTTAAGATGGTCCACCCGTTACTGCAGTGGGATCATGTAGGTAGAGTAAGACTGGGATTGTGTACCTCCCTGTGCCTCTTAGGAGGAAGAATTGGCCTGGAAGGTGCAGGTATCTGGTAAGGTACAGCTAGTAGCTATATTAGAGTTGTGAAGGACAGATTTTGTACTAGAGACTATAAAATATTAACAAGGAAAGTAGAAATGCCGTAAATGTTCACAAAAAATAGGATGCTTTTCCTGAGCTCGCATTTCATTGGCTCTTATTTTGCTTCATAAGGGAGAGGAACCCTGAGGTTCCCTGAGGAACCCTTCCCAGTAGTCCAGAAGGGTAATCATAATCACTAGCTAAAGTTTTAGATTATGCTTTCTTTAATATAATAGTATAAGGAGTTAATGGCAGAGTATAAATATAGACTCACTGAAGAAAGAGTATTTAATTACTGTAGATTAACCTGAAAAAGTTTATTAGACAGTCTCCAAAAGGATTCAGAGAAACTCCACAGTATTTATCCTTGGGGAGCAAAACTAAGGCTAGGAATAGGAAGGTGACTCATTTTCATTGTTGCCTTGAGATCTACTTTAATAATATTTTACTAAGATGCAGTTATTTTTACCTTTTTTGCTTAATATTTCATCATTCTAGTCTCTTCATCGTTAATCAGTGTTTTTAATTTTTTCCCCATTTTTACCCTTAAAGCATGCTTCGTCTAATATATGTTTCAGACTTCTAAAATGGGAAATTTTGGTGTACATTTGAATTTATTTATTTTGACTGTTACCAAAGGAAATTTTCTTGAAGGTGGTCGCAACCTGACCTTTTTGTGTTGAATGCCTCTGGAATACAAATATTTAAATTAAAATGTTGGTGCAGTGTTCAGTTTTCTGGGTCAGTTGTAAATACTGTTGTCTCCCCCATCACCCTCAAACTTGACTCATGTTCTGTAATTTTGTGTTTGTTTTAAAATAAGATTTTTGCTTTATCTCAATAGTTGTCTAAATTATTGCATGACTTGTGATTTCTTGTATTAAACTTTTTATCCTGCAGGTGGTGCAATAATAACACCTCATTTCAATAAAAGGTGGAAGACATAACCAAAATTCTTTTCAGTGTGAAAATAAGCTATCACAGTTTGTAATATTCATTATGCTTACTCTAATAGTCTGGATAAAAGCAGCTTTTCTGAATATAAGATGATAAGTAGATCTCTGCTTTACACTTAAGAAAAAGCAGAAAATTACAGAATAGGATATTCTATATTTTCATATAAAAGCTTACAAAAACTTACTGTTTCAAATTCTTTTTAGAGAAGTATTAATAATGTGTTTTGAGGACCATGCACTTGGTACTGTTTTTCACAAACAAACCTAGGAGAGTAGGGAGGTACCATTTCTGTCCTTGTTTTTTTACAGACAGGAATCAAAGGATTAGCAAGATTAAGTAACTTGCTTGAGGTCAACACTCAGTAGGTGTCAGTGAAAAGTAGATAGGTAGATACGTTGGCTAACTGAACCTTAAAAAAAAACATAAAGTAAGTAGGTAGATGAGAATGAAACCCAGACCTACTGAAGTCCAGAGCTCTTACAACAGTGTTCCGATGCCTTAGACGAGTAGAGCATAACATGAAAGCAAAGATGTCAAGATCCATTTATAGTCTGATAAGTGTGAAATGAGGCACCTGCTGTGATACAATTCATAGTAATACATATCTAAATGTGCACTACTTTTAATTTCAGTCTGTAGCTGTGCCACCCAGTGTTGTCACAGTTACTCCTGTAAAGCCGTTGAATTCTGTAACTACCCTGAAGCCTTCAAGTTTGGGAGCATCAGCTGCTCCCTCAAATGAGCCCAGTCTCAACACAGAGAACTCAGCAGCTGTTCAGACGAATCTTTCTCCGGTAAGCTCTCACTTCCATCTTAACATGAATACAGCTCTTTAGAAATTTTCTTGAATTCTGTTTTCAAGCTAACATTTGTGTTTGTATTTCTCTCTTTAGGCGATGCTAGAAAACGTGAAGAAATGTAAGAACTTCCTTGCAATGTTAATAAAACTAGCATGTAGTGGGTCACAGGCTCCAGAAATGGGGCAGAATGTGAAGAAACTGGTGGAACAACTTTTGGTAAGTTAGTATTATGAAAGCTTAAATTTTGTAAGAATTTGTAGAACATGTTTTAAATGGGACTTATCTTTTTTTTTTTTTTTTTTGAAGATTTTATTTATCTGTCAGAGAGAGAGAGCACAAGCAGGGGAAATGGGAGAGGGAGAAGCAGGCTTCCCGGTGAGCAAGGAGCCCGATGTGGGAATCGATCCCAGGACTCTGGGATCATAACCTGAGCCAAAGGCAGCCGATTAACCAACTGAGCCACCCAGGTGTTCCGGGACTTATCTTTAAATGAGGTTTATTTTAGATGGATTTTTTTTTTTTAGTGTTTTTTTTTAATTTTTTTATTGTTATGTTAATCACCATATATTACATCATTAGTTTTTGGTGCAGTGTTCCATGATTCATTGTTTGTTCATAACACCCAGTGCTCCATGCAGAACGTACCCTCCTCAATACCCATCACCAGGATAACCCATCCCCCTCCCCCCCTCCCCTCTAGAACCCTCAGTTTGTTTTTCAGAGTCTAGATGGATTTTTTTGATAAGCTTTTGTTTTTTAAGTTGTAATGATAATAAATCTGAAACAAGTAAATCTGTTATATTACTTTCTGTATGCCTTAGCTTAAAAAGGGCCTTGGGGAGGGGTGCCTGGGTGGCTCAGTTGGTTGAATGTCTTGACTCTTGATTTTGGCTCAGGTCATGATCTCAGAGCTTTGGAATCAAGCCCCTTGTCAGTCTCTATGCTCAGCAGGCAGTCGCTTGAGGAGTCTCTTTCCCTCTGCCCCTCTACTCCCGTATGCACTCTTTCTCGCTCTAAAACAAATAAATAAATCTTAAAAAAAATAAAAGTCCTTGGAGAGAATGTTGACTATTTGGTCAGATAAAAAATTGTTACTAGAATTGGGAATGCCAGAAAGCCAGGCTGTCATCAAATAATGAAATTCAGTTCTTGTAAGTTCAAACAGCATACTTTGTAACCTGTGGAAGTAGGTTAACTTTAAGTTTTAGTTTTCTTTTCTGTAAAATGAGAAGAGTAATAAATGTGATGATCTTGGAATTCCCAAGTTCCAAGATGCTATGTTTTTTAGCTATTAAATTATACATCGTTCAGTTTTTATATCCTCTTTCAGGTAAATTGCTTAGATATATTAAAGTGGATGAAGATGGAAATTAACAAATATTGCATATTATATGCTTAAGAAATATGCTGAGGGTATAATAGACAAATACAATTTTGGTTTTGAGCTACTAAAATCTACAGATTTCTCTGACCATAAAATGAGCATTTTGTGCATTTTTTGTATAAAAATGGTCACTTTTTCCCAGCAGAAAATGTGTATATTTCAAATATTGCACAGGAAAACAAGTATAATTTATAAATATTAAAATATTTTCTTTACTACTGTTTTTTATGCTATCTGTAATTTGTTAGAAATAGAGCACGTTTGAAATGGTTAGTTTTCCACTCAGGAAAACTATTTTAGATATTTAAAATCATAAGTCCTATAAGCAAGTTTTTAACTTTTCAAGCATTCTTAAAAATTTCAGTTAACTTAAATTTTTAATTTTGGTTGAAGTATAGTTAACATAGATCCTGTATTACTTTCAGGTGTAGAACATAGTGATTTGGCAATTATAAACATTACAAAATACAGCATAAGTATAGTTACCATCTGTCACTATAAAAAGTTACTACAATATTATTGGCTGTATTTCCTACACTGTACTTTTTATCCCTCTGATTTTCTTATTTTATAACTGGAAGTTTGCCCTTCTTTAACCACTCACCTATTTTGCCCATCCCCCCCCCCATTTGTTCTCTGTGTTGTACCTGTTACTCTTTGCTTGTATTATTTTTTAAATTCCATATATAGGGGCACCTGGGTGGCTCAGTTGTTAAGCATCTGCCTTCGGCTTGGGTTGTGGTCCTGGGCTTCTGGGATCGAGCCCCGCATCTGGCTCCCTGCTCCGCGGGAAGCCTGCTTCTCCCTCTCCCACTCCCCCTGCTTGTGTTCCCTCTCTCGCTGTGTCTCTCTCTCTGTCAAATAGATAGATAAAATCTTAAAAAAAAAAAAAAGACTGAAATCTTAAAAAAAAAATTCCATATATATATGAAATCTTATAGTATTTGTCTTTCTCTGATTTAATTCACTTAGCATAATACCCTCTAAATCCATCCATGTTGTGAATGGCAAGATCTCATTCTATTTTACGGCTGAGTAGTATTCCATTGTATGCATATACCACATCTTCTTTAGTCCTCTATTAATGGACACTTAAGTTGCTTTCATGTCTTGGCTATTGTGAACAGTGCTGCAGTAAACATAGGAGTGCATATATCTTTACAAATTAGTGTTTTTGTTTTCTTTGGGTAAATACCCAGAAGTGGAATTACTGGACTGTATGTTACTTCAATTTTAAAATTTTTGAGAAACCTTTGTACTGTTTTCCACAGTGACTACACCAATTTATATTCCTACCAACAGTCCACAAGGGTTTTTTTTCCTCTACATCCTTGCCAACACTTGTTATTTCTTGTCCTTTTGATATTAGCCATTTTGACTGGTGTCACATAATATATCATTGTGGTTTTTATTTTTATTTCCCTGATGATTAGTGATGTTGAGCATCTTTTCATGTGTCTGTTGGCCATCCTAAGTCTTCTTTGGAAAAATGTCTATTCAGGTCCTCAGTCTATTTTTTTTTTTTAAGATTTTATTTATTTATTTGACAGAGAGAGATACAGCGAGAGAGGGAACACAAGCAGGGGGAGTGGAGATGGAGAAGCAGGCTTCCCGCTGAGCAGAGAACCCAATGCGGGGCTCGATCCCAGGATCCTGGGATCATGGCCTGAGCCGAAGGCAGATGCTTAACAACTGAGGCACCCAGGCATCCCCTCAGTCTATTTTTAATCAGATTATTTTTGGTCATTGAGTTCTATGAATTCTTTGTATGTTTTGGATCTTAACACCTTATCAGATACGACATTTGCGAATATCTTCTCCCTATTCAGTATGTTGCCTTTTTGTTTTGTTGATGGTTTCCTTTACTCTGCAAAAGCTTTTCAGTTTGATACAGTCTCAGTAATTTATTTTTGCTTTTATTGCCTTTGCCTAAGAAGGCATATCCAGAAAAATATTGCTAAGGCTAATATCCAGGACTTACCACCTATATTTTCTTCTGGGACTTTTATAGTTTTGAGTCTCACATTTAGGTCTTTAATCCACTTTGAGTTTATTTTTGGGTATGGTTTAAGAAAGTGGTCCAGTTTCATTCTTTTGCATATAGCTGTCCAGTTTTCCCAACACCACTTATTGAAGAGACTATCTTTTCCCCATTGTATATTCTTGCCTTCTTTGTCGTAGATTAATTGACCATATAATTGTGGGTTTATTTCTTAGCTCTCAGTTCTGTTCCATTGATCTCTGTGTCTGTTTTTGTGTCAGTACCATACTGTTTTGATTACTATAGCTTTGTAATAGAATTTGAAATCCGGGATTGTGATATCTCCAGCTTTGTTCTTTGTCAAGATTGCCTTGGATGTTCAGGGTCTTTTGTGGTTCCACACAAATTTTAGGATTATTTGTTCTAATTCTGTGAAGAATGCTGTTGGTGTTTTGATAAGGATTGCACTGAAACTGTAGATTGCTTTGGGTAGTATAGACACTTTAACAGTATTAATTCTTCCAGTGCATGAACACAGTATATGGTTCCATTTATTTGTGTCCTCTTCAATTATAGTTTTCACAGTATGGGTAGGTCTTTTACCTCCTTACATCAATCATGAATTACACGCCTTTTCTCTTTTAAAATATTTATAAACCTAAAAGTATTTTTCTTTCTGCTGTTCTCAGGATGGAAAAATTGAAGCTGAAGAATTTACTAGACAACTGTATGTTGAACTCAAGTCTTCACCTCAGCCTCACCTAGTTCCTTTTCTTAAGGTAATGGAAATCCTGAATATTTCAATAAGATAGCTATGTGAAGATACTAACAATGTAGGAGAAAGCTCTCAAATGTTGTAATCTGTTAAGAATGTTCATAGTCCATATTCTTTGGATTGGAACACTTGGGGGAAATAAAAGTAACATCTCATTTGTGAACATAACTTAATGATTATATTGGTAAAGTTTACATCTTAAAAGGCTTGATTTTTCCTTTAAAATAGGGCCTTCTGTGGGGCGCCTGGGTGGCTCAGCTGGTTTAAGTGACTGCCTTCGGCTCAGGTCATGATCCTGGAGTCTCAGGATCGAGTCCCGCAGCGGGGGGGGGGGGGGGGGGGGGGTCCCTGCTCAGCAGGGAGTCTGCTTCTCCCTCTGACCCTCCCCCCTCTCATGCTCTCTCTCTATCTCATTCTCTCTCTCAAATAAATAAATAAAATCTTTAAAAAATAAAAAAAATAAAATAGGGCCTTCTGCTTTGTCCTAATGACTCATATTCTCCTAGAAATAATAAATAGTGCCAAAGTTGGTGGGAAAGCTGTTATTTTTAAAAATTGATTTATACTGTTAGTAAGCATGCTCTTTTCTAAGATTTGTTGAATTAAGTAGAATTTGACATAGAATAGTATATTTGATAACAAGAGACTATAAAAATTATTTTTTTTCCTTGGACACTCAGAAGCTGAAGAGGAATCAAGTTGAAATTTAAAAAGTCATTAAAGAACTGGAATTATATTTAACACAGAGTCATCCCATAAATTTTGAAATAATGGAATGAGGAGTGGCCTTTAGAAATATTTGGTTTAGGGGTACCTGGGTGGGGCAGTTGGTTGAATGTCCGACTCTTGGTTTTGGCTCAGGTCGTGATCTCAGGGTTGTGAGATTGAGCCCTGTGTCAGGCTCAGTGTGGAGTGTGCTCAGGATTCTCTCTTCCTCTTCGCCTCCTGCTCATGCTCGCTCTCTCAATCTCTCTCTCCCAAATAAATACATCTTTAAAAAATTTAAAAAGAACTATTTGGTTTAATTGTCTAGAGGAGATGAAAGAGGCATCACAGTGGAAGACTCCTTTTGGTTGCCTCATAAAAAAAAGAGTGGGAACGGAAATGGAGCACCACATTTTCAGAAGGATATTACAGTAATGGAAACTGTCACTAGGAGGGTGAGCACACTGATTAGGAGGGTGCCAATCATGTTGAAAAACAAAATGTGGCTAAAGAAACAGAATGTTTTAGCTAGAGGAGACTTGGTCTGGGCAAAGGGAGGTTGAAGCTTCAGCATAATATCTAATATCAAATGACTGATACCCTGTTTTTGGATGATCCTCTTGATTGAGAAATTAGAGGCAGTCCTTCCTTTCAGTGCAAAAGTTCTTTGAGCTATAGGTTGTCTGCATGACACTGACAACTCTTGAATTCATCTATATTTCATACTCACTGGAGACACTGGGGGAGAAGGGAGGAAATCACGTATGTTCTTATTCATCCTATGCTTTGCTAGATACTTTACTTTTAATTTGCATCATTTGCACTTACTTTTCCTATCAGTCTTTTGAGGATACTAGGTGCTAGATATTATAGTATTTTCCATTTTAGAGATAAACTGTTTATATTGACTACTTTTTTATCAAACTTACAGGTCCAGAATTTATCCTATCTGACTCTGCTTGCTAGGTAACACTACCTTAAAGTTACCAAATACTACACCATGAAATTTTTGTGGTTTGTATGTATTTTCTAAGGACCTATTAAGCCTTGTGATTTGTTTCTTGAGAATTTTTCCCCCCATTTTTGAGAGCTCTTGGGCATTGAATGTTGTGTAGAGATGAGGGATTCAGCATTTAATCTCTGGCCAGCTGATCAAGAGATAATTTAATATACAGTTTTATAATAGTCTCTTTGAGTCTGATTATTTTAACATTTGTTCCAGTTGTGTTTTTCTCAGAACCCCTTCATATTAGATTTCTAGCTTAAATTTAATCAGATCACTTCATTTGTTCATGTATTTCCAAAGCAGCTTGTTTCCCACCATTTTTTAAGTTTGGAAAAAGATTATGAGACTCTGCTTCTTACTTTCCTTTGTTACCATTTATATACATATTTGAAAACCTTCAGAGAAGAACTTCTCAATCCTTTTTAATAAAAAAAAGTAAAAGATGTAACTAAAAGGAAAGGAAAGGAAGAACAATAGTTCTCATTTGCTTCTAAAATTCAGTCAGACTGCCTTTATTTAAGTGTCAAAACAAGGAAAACTTCCAAACAGCCCTTGAATTCACCAAAAGATAATCTACTGTCTACCTCCTTTTCCATTTTTTTTTCCTTACTCAAAAACAAAAACAAACAAAACCCCCAGGGATCAAAAGGCAGAATGTTCTACTTTTTAGTTTGAACTGCCTTTACTCTTTCAGAAAGATACAAGGAGAGACACCAACTTAAAATGTAGTCAGAAAATATTCTAGCTCAATTAAGGAAATTGACCTTGTTTGTATTAGTTTTGTTTTTAAAAGATTTTATTTGTCAGAGAGAGCACAAGCAGGGGGAGCAGCAGGCAGAGGGAAAAGCAGGCTCCCCACTGAGCAGGGAGCCCGAGGTGGAACTCAATCCCAGGACCCCAGGATCACGACCCGAACCGATGCAGACACTTAACTGACCGAGCCACCCAGGCATCCCGTGTATTAGTTTTATTTTGACTTAAAGACTGCTTTTATCCAAAGTTTGAAAGTTAATTAACAAAAACTTTTTTTTTAGATTCTATTGTCATATAAAGAAATTTACTGATAGAATAATTATTAGTGATCTATTATGGGGTATAAGTAAATACAACCAAGTATGACACAGTGTTTTATTTTACCAAATTGATTTTGAGGGATATAAAATAAATTCAATACTGAGAGATAATAATTTTGTATTGAAAAATAAAGCACTTTTGTGCTTTAAATTGGTTGTATCCTAGATCTTGGCAGGATATGAGTACCAAGTGATGCCAGATTTCCTCAACTGAAATACCTGGTATACTTTTGATTTATCTTATGTTGTAAAGCTATGAAATACAAAGTAGTTCTATTTTACTAGCAGCTAATTTGTTTAGTTATCAGGTTCTTTTTTCTCCCGTTTCTAGAAAAGTGTGAATGCCTTACGACAACTCATGCCCAACTCCCAGAGCTTTATTCAGCAGTGTGTTCAGCAGACCTCTAACGAGGTAGTCATTGCTACCTGTACCACAACAGCAACAACTTCTCCTGTGGTGACAACAACAGTTTGCTCAGTCCAGTGTGAAAAACCCATCATTGTTTCCGGAGCAGCAACACCCAGTACTATGTCAGTGCCGACTCTGAATCCGCTTGCTGGTCCGGGGGGAGCAAAAACTGGAGTTGTGACACTTCATTCTGTGGGTCCGTGTGCTGTACCAGGAGGAACAACAGCTGGAACTGTTTTGCTTCAGACTCCAAAACCACTTGTGACATCTATACAGAATACAGTTACAGCAGTCTCTCTTCAACCTGAAAAGCCAGTTGTCTCTGGGGCAGCAGTCACGCTGGCTCTTCCCTCAGTAACTTTCGGAGAAACTTCCGCGGCAGCTCTCTGTCTTCCATCTGTGAAACCCGTTGTTACTTCTGCTGGGACCACATCTGACAAGGCCGTCATTGCTCCAGTCCAGATCAAACTTGCACAGCCGGGCCCCATTCTTTCACAGCCAGCTGGGATTCCTCAGGCAGTTCAAGTCAAACAGCTAGTGAGTAACATTTCATTTCTTCCTCAGTTTCTTTTTTTGAAAATTTCAAACATTCAGAAAACTGGCAAGACTAGTCAGATGAGCCCCTGAGTATCCTTGACTTATCACACTTGCTTAGTCTTTCGCTCTCTATTCACATACATAAGCACACACACACAACTTTTTCCTGAACCATTTGAGAGTTAATTGCAGAAGTTGTGACATTGTACCTCTAAGTACTGTGTATCTCTTAAGGAAAAGGATTTTTTTTTTAACATAATGGCCACGTACTTATCACACTTGGAAATTTAATATTGGTATAATTTTTTTTTCCCAGTTGTCCCCAGTGTCCTTTATAGCTAATAATGTCCCTTTTTTTGATGTTTCTGATAAGAACTGCGTATTGCATTTACCTGTCCTTTCTCTTTAGGCTCCTTTAATCTAGAATAGCTTCCCAGCCTTTTGTTAGTTGCTCATTTGGTTGTAATAGTTTTAAGTACCCAGGCTAGTTGTTTTGCAGAATGTTCTTTGTTTTATCTAATTGTTTTCTCAAGATTAGATTCAGACTGAATCTTTTGGGCAAGGTCATTACAGAAGTAATGTTATGGTAACATTTCTCAAGAAAAATGTGCAAAGAGGAGAGGGAAACAGTGAGGGGAGTAGATGAATATGAAATTGTGGTTTTTCCTAAACTTGGTAGGTTGGGAGGTTCTTAGGTGAAAGAAATTTTAGCTGTTTATCATTTAGTGTTGTTAACCTTAGGAATAAAACTGTCTATTATTTTACCAGCAAAAATGGGTTTATTTGGGAATGGCAAAGAATTAGAGTTCAGGACAAGCAAGATATGGCAAAACCATAGGCAGATCTAGAGAACAAAGAAGAATGGCCTTGTACAGAGGAAAGGGGGAAGTTGGAAAATGCTTTTATAAAAGTCCACTGGAGTAAACCAAAGTGTAGTGCCTTCTCATTGGCTTGAGTTGTGACAGTCTGTCATTGGCTGGGCTATTGCTGGCAAGGTGAAAAATCTTTTTTCCTCCTACAAAGGTAGTAAAGGATAGGCTTCTTCCTATTGGGAATGCAAGGTACCTCCCTTTCTGTTGGGGTCTGCAATTGATGACTAGTTATAGGGTGTGAGAGGTTCCCCTTCTGGCCTCCTGACTCATTTTAGTGAGGTTTCCCTTTATTTTCATAGTGTTTAGAACATTCCAGTTTAATCAAGACAGACTGTCAGATTATTACTAACCTGTAGGAAATATTACATGGTGAATTAATTAAAAATTACATTTCTTAGTAAACTCGCTTACCTTATAACAGTTAGCTGTTCTTTTAAATTTGGGTAATTGCCCTTGTTTTCTTTTATAAATCTTTATGTTAAAGGCTGTGTGTTGAATCTCATTATTTTAGTTTATTCTGCTTCTGAGAATAATAAAATCTAAGTAAACTTCCCAGCCTTTGTTGTCTGATCAGGAGAAGAGGTTAATATCTGTGGATGATTGTCTTTGAGGCAAAGGTCAGCTATGGGCATAAGATGAAAGGGGGAAGATCAGGGCACCTGGGTGGCTCAGATGGTTAAGTGTCTGCCTTCAGCCCAGGTCAGGATCACGGGGTCCTGGAATCGAGTCCTGCATCAGGCTCCCCCCGCTCAGCAAGGAGCCTGCTTCTCCCTCTGCCTCTCTCTCTCTCTGTCTCTCATGAATAAATAAAATCTTAAAAAAAAGAAAGAAAGGAAGAAAGAAAGGGGGAAGATCAACTTGGACAGTGGTCAAACTCTTGGGTAGGTAGGAAGTAATGTCATTTCCTGGGTGCTAATAATTTTTCATCCCTTCCTACCCTGAGTCTGATTTTCAAATAAAGAAATGTAGGGCCTGCCTTGCAGAATTTCTCTTGGGTTGTTTGAATTTAATCTCAGAGATGAAACCTTTTTAGAAGCAGTGATTCTTAAACATCAGTTTCAACAGCCAGCTTTGGGAACCACTGAAACAGAGTAATTGCCTCAAGGAGAGGCCTCTTTTTGGTAGCACTGAACAGAATTGAAATCCTTTTTACAGGTCATAAGTGATTCTTGAATCACTGTTAATCTTTATTGAACATCTATACCATATTAGTTTCTGAAGTGAAATAACACTTTACAGCTATGTAGAATTTTAAAAGCATGTCAGGTATTACTGTGGGTTTTAAAATAATTTTATGGTGAAGAAAAGGCAAGGAGGAAACTTAAGAATCTGGAAACATTAAGTGACCCATCCACTGGCATTCAACAAGCCTTGGATCTCAGACTAAAACCCAGGGTCTTTCCCATTAGGATAAGGTACTCATGGCAAGAACTTCTAGGTATCTAGAGTGTCCTGAAACAGTAAGACTGGTAATAATATCTTGACAGCATTTATATTTTGTATGTTTGACTTGTTATACATGAGAAACAATTTCAATCAAGAAAAAATGTAACAGATATTTCAATGGGGGGAATCTGGCTGGCTGAGTCCAGGGAGGATGGGACTTTTGATCTCAGGATTGTGAGTTTGAGCCCCACGTTGGGTGTAGAGATTACTTTAAAAAAAAGAAAAAGAAAGAAAATCTAATGGTAAAATTTTAGGGATTTTTTGACCTCCTACTTTCATTCTTATAAAAATGTGGAATAATTTAGTTTTTCTTGTGAATTCTGCTTTCTTGTTTGGCCTTTGTTTTAATTTCACTCAACAAATTTGATGTATTTATACCTTCCTATTTAAAATGTCAAACACCAGAGCATCTAGACACTGAAGATGCATTGTAATCTGTTTCATAACACATTTTTACCTGGGGGCACAAAACAAGCCATTCTGTGTGGTAATGCCACAGAGAGGCTTGAACTAGGACATTCTTTCAAATCAGCTAATTTAGGAAATTAATATTACTAAAGTTTAGTATTACTAAAGTAATTTAAGAATATCATCCATGAGGCCATCATAAACCATAGTTCAATTTAATCCCAGATAAGTGAGGGGGAAAATACTCAGGGTGCTAGAAACATAAGATAGTATTCAGTGCAGCTTATAAGAGATATGGCAAATCATAATTTAAAATATGAGAATTGCCATACTGGTTCAAATCTGTGTTTTGTGCAACTCAGGATGTAGTCTCCAAAAATGAGCTGAAGAATACAAGTATAGATTGTTCAATATTAGGTTTAAAATTTGTTTATTTCTGGGGTGCCTGGGTGGCTCAGTTGGTTAAGGGACCGTCTTGATTTCGGCTTAGGTCATGATCTCAGGGTGGTGAGATTGATTCCTCCACCCTCACCCCTTGGGTCAGGCTCTGTGCTGGGTGTGGAGCCTGCTTGAGATTCTTTCTCTCCCTCTCCGTTTGCCTCTCCCCCTCCACCCTCCCACCCCTCTTGCTCACACCTTCACACTCTCTAAAAAAAAAATTTTTTTTGTTTATTTCCTTTAATGATTGATCATGAATTTTAAAACCTCTTCTTAATGTTTTATGTTTCTAGCATGTACTAGTTTTTCTGGAGAATTGTATAGGTTTCTTGCCTTCTAGGTGTTTTAAATATCACACTTTTCAAATTATAAGGATCCTCTTAATCTCCCAGTGTAGGGTTTAGATTTTATAGAATTATTATTTTATGAAATAATATATTTTTATTCCAGATTAAAGAGGCCCTTCCCCATTTATTTTTTTAATTTAGATTTGTTACTATATATTATCTTTTCTATCTCATTGATTATTGTATGTTATCCTCTGGGGATCTGCTAGAGTTGTCATCAAATGAAATAATTGGAATTGTTCAGTTTCTTTAGATATAAGTTTTTCATTTTGTGCCAGTAGTTCATTGCTTTGTATAGTTTGGTCCTCAAATGCTTGAATTGTTGAAATATGGACCTAATCAGTAGTTCCTGTGATTTCATCTGACAATCTAGTTCTTATAAATGGTTAGTGTTATTGTTATTGAACAATTCTGGCATAGTAGGTGTTATATGATGTTACATACTCCAACTAAATGTTAAGCTTCATGGTTTTACCTTTCTTTAAAAGTTGATGAAAGGAAGTGGATGAACTGTATTATAGTTCACAGATGATGGGTAGATAGTAAGTAGAAACTTCAGTTTTGTTGCTTAAAAGTTTTTCTTAGGATATTTGTGAAAAAACTGTTATTCATAGTTGAGCAAAAGCTAAATTTAATTTAAAGATTATCTACAGATCAGAAATCATAAATTTTTTAACAGAAACTTAGAGGTTCTCAATTTGAAGCAGCATTTACAGATTCCTTATAAAAGCTGGTAGTATAATTAAAAATTCATTTGAGCACATTTTTAAAAGTGTTTAGAAGGCCCTTTAAATGAAAGAAACAGCATATTCTGAAGTTTACCAACGTTGAGTTTTAATTTAGATTGGGTATGGCATATAAGTTTCAATCTTCTTTGTAGGATTTTACTGGAGTTCTATGTTAAGATTCTGAGGCTGGATGAGGGTAAGTAGAAGTGATGGCATTTAGTGATATATGCCATTGTCCCAGAAGATAAGGAAATAGTGGTACAAGAACCACGTACTGGCTGTTCCTGAGAAATAGTTGGGAACTAACATGTATTTCCTGACTATAAAGCTGCAGCTTTTGTTTAATTGGGGTCCTCTATTTTCTAGAACTCAACCTACTGAGTGCATGCCAGTAATCACATATTGAATATTATATAGACATAGAAATTAGAGGCGATAATACGCTTGATTCCAATCACTGTGTGTGTATGTACTAGTTGAGTTATTTAGGGATAAGAATTTGATTGATGTGTATTTATGAACAGGGGAGTAGGTGAGGATTGAAATACAGGGAAAGCAAAGTGTAAGAGACTCATTTGGTTAAGTGCTGGACTCTGATTTCGGCTCAAGTCATAATCTCAGGGTCATGAGATCAAGCTCCATCCTGCTCCGTGCTTAGCGAGGAGTCTGCTTCAGATTCTTTCCCTCTCCCCGTCCCCCTGCTCACACATGCTTTCTCTCTCTCTCAAATAAATAAAATCTTTTTTAAAAAAAGTGTAAGGGATGTTTTCATCTACTTGTTTAACTCAAACTTGTGTTTCTTTGTGTCCTTTCCTTATGAAATTTAAGAATAGTTCCTTGTCTGATATCCCAGAGCATAATGTAAAAATCATAATGTAAAAAAATCTAAGTGATACTGTGTTGCACTAGATCTGTATTTCTATAAACTACTAGAACATTATTTTATGTTAACATCCAAAAGAAACATCAGAATTTGACATGTCAAGAGAAAAGGCTAAGGTATGTACTATTTATTGATTTTCCTGTCTAGTGGCTTTTTGGAGGGAAATTAAATAAAGGACTTAAGTTTTTCTTTTCCTTGCCAAGTAGGAGTAAATACCTCTTTGGGTGAATTTCCATCTCTCTGTGATAATTTCAGTCTCCATAAGATGCCTAATACTGTGGATTTAAGTGGTACTTTCTTTGAAAGAACAGTAATGAATGCACTTACACTTTCTCACTCATTGTATTTGATTTTGTTCAGCAAGTGTGTAGGAGTATGCTACACATCTGCTGCCCCAAGTGTTATAGTCATTAAGATGAGGAATGATGGGGATCCAGGATTGTTAAATCCCAGCTCAGAACTTTGTGCTATATAAAAATATCACATACCATATACATTTATATATTTTATTTATATTCATAATATATATAAATATAATTTATGAAGTTATGGTTATATATATGTATTTTTTTTGAAGTTTTATTTAAGTAATCACTACACCAAGGTGAGGCTCGAGCTCACAACCCCAGGATCAAGATTTGCTTGCTCCACCACTGAGCCAGCCAGGCACCCCTATATTTTTAACTGGCATATTGTCTTCCTCCACATGTATGATCTTGACCCCAGTTGGGCTGGAGGCAGGGCAAGGCACACCCAGGATCCTACAGGTGGGTACTGAGGCTTGCTTTCCTCACCTTGTTCTTGCCAGGGCTGCACACTGGTGCCAAGGTCTCATGGGGCCCACTTTTTTTTTAAGATTGATTTATTTATTTGTCAGGGGGAGGGGAGAGAGAAAGCAAGAGAGGGAGCACAAGTAGGGGGAGCGGCAGGCAAAGGGAGAAGCAGGCTCCCTGCTGAGCAAGGAACCCGATGGGGGACTTGAAGATCCCAGGACCCTGGGATCATGACCTGAGCCAAAGGCAGACACTTAACCGACTGAACTACCCAGGTGTCCCGGGGTCCACTCTTTATAGCTGAGGGTGCACACAGCCAGGCTGTGTAGAGCCTGTGTCTACCTCAGGGGCAGGCCTTTGGGCTGTTATATGATTACCTATCAAATTGGTATGAAGACTAACTCATAAACACCTCTAATATTTTATTACTGTTTTTCACAATTAAAATACTGGAAAAGAATACTTAAGGATATTAAGGAAGAAAATATGAATAGGAAGATAAGACAGAATTGTTAGAGGAGTATTTCTGTTGAGTTTCAGTCTGAATGAATAAATATGACCCTGAATGTATATTATTTTGTAGAATTTTTTTCTAATAATCTCATCTTTAGTTATTTGAAAATATAACTTTATTATTTTTCTAATTATAAATGTAGCTTATGCTAATCATAAAAAAGCAAATAATGTACATATCTATAAAGTATATAATAAATACACAAAGTAGAAAGCAAAATTACCCTGCAGTTGAATCCTAGGAAATAATCACTGTTTACAGATTGTTTTTTTAACTTACAGACCTTTCTCTGTACATACACTTCTAAAAATTTTTTTTAAATTTTTTTTGAAGTACAGTTAATATACAATATTATATTAGTTTCAGTATACAGCATAGTAATGTTCAACATTTAAATTAGGAAGTGATCACCACACTAAACCTAGCTATTATCTATCATCATACAAAGTTATTAAAATATTATTAACTATATTCCCTATACTGTATATTGTATTCACCTGTCTTATTTTATAACTGGAAGTTTGTGACTTGTTTCACTTAGCATATAATATCCATGTTGTTGCAAATGGCAAGATTTCATTCTTTTTGTAGCTGAGTACTATTCTGTTGTATGTATACCGTATCTTTTATCTGTTCATCAAAATATTACTTTGTAGAATATAAATCTGATTTCTTGTACTTTACAATACAACTCAGTTTATAATCTCAACTTATTAAAATACATCATTGTTTTCAAGAGTTCTTTCTCTCTTTCAAGAGTTTCTTTTTATAGAATGATGGCAGTTGGATTATTCCAACTTGTATTTCTTCTGTATGGGCATTAGTTCCCATGGGATTCTTTGCTGGGACATTTTGAGTTTCTTGTGAGTTACTTTTGTTTAGTAATACACACTAAATTTTATATTTTATTTACAAAAAAATGAGAGAATAGAATACTATACCCAAAATTCTGTTCAGAAGTCTTTCTCCTGACTTGTTTATATTAGCCATATCTGAGTTTAAGGACTTTTAAGTAGTTCACTATTAATAGCAGACTCAAATATACATGGTGACTTTTTCTTTTTTGAAGTGAAAAAAATGAAGCTCTGCTATTTTGACTTTTCTCCTTTGTAGCTAAAAATAAGGCCCTACTATTAGTTTAATTTCTCTTCCTTTATCCCTAATCTTTGCCCTCTGGATTTCTTGAACTATTCTGTTGGAGAACGCCCTAGCATTGTTGTTTTCCAGAGACTTGTAAAAAGCAGCCCATTAAAAGTCTTTATTTTTTAGAGACATATTTTGAAATATTTAGGGATAAAAAAGATATACCTGGGATTTAAAAAAAAAAATTGAGGGTGGTGAGAAAATGAGTGGGTAGGGATATGGATAAAACAGGATTGGTAAAGAATTAATCATTGTTGAAGCTGGGTAATAATGGAATAGGTGGTTTCATTTTATTCTTCCCTCTACTGTTGTATATGTTTGAAATTTTCCATAAGTTAAAAAATGAAAATAGGATCCAAATGGAGATTTAAGTTGGGCAGTATATAATGCAAATTTGAATTTCACTCTAAAAATAAAATATATTATGTAATAGTCATGTTTTTCACTATTGAACAAGATAATTTTGCAACATACAAATATAAATTTTAAGTAGACTTTCTGTTACGCTAATGTAAAGGTGTATTTACAGTTAGGTGAGCACAGTCATTTGTTCTACTGTTATAATTGAAAGCTTGTTTTTTTCTAAAGCAGGTTTAGTTGAATGAGTATATTAATAGTTCTCATTGTTTCAGGTAGTCCAGCAGCCTTCAGGAGGTGTTGCAAAACAAGTGACCACACTTCCCCATTCCTCAGCATTGACCATTCAGAAATCTGGACAGAAGAAGATGCCAGTGAGCACTGCAATACCTACCAGTCAGTTTGCTCCAGGTAGACCCCGATCCATCCCTGCCCCATCACACTGGGTTTGGAACATGATAGGGTTTTGTATCATTCTATTTTTTTTATTGTTACATTAAGAAAGATAGTCTTTTAAATAGGACCTGGGGGGAGGACTGAAAAATAACTAGTACATTCTTTATACATACATAGCTACTTTTTAGGGATATGTGTTGCTTTAGAATAAAAGAAGCAGCTGTTCATGGTATTTTTGTAATTAGAATAACATATTTGTAAATAAAGCACTTTTTAACATAAAAATTGCTATAGCTTTATTTCTTTTTAAAATGCACTACTTTTTCTAAGTTTGGAAATCATTGTTACACGTAAAAGTTAGAGATTTCATGTATTTTTTTAAATCTACAAATATGATATATTATTAACATTTATCACCTGTCACTTTTTCTGCATGTTTTTATAATACTGGTAATTCTGTAGACTGTTTGAAGACTATATAAAAAGAAATGGAGGGGCACCTGGGTGGCTCAGTTGTTAAGTGTCTACCTTCGGCTCAGGTCATGATCCCAGAGTCCTGGAATCGAGCCCCGCATCAGGCTCCCTGCTCTGCGGGAAGCCTGCTTCTCCCTCTCCCACTCCCCCTGCTTGTGTTCTCTCTCTCTCTCTCTCTCTAACTCTCTCTCTCTCTCTCTCTCTCTCTCGCTCTCTCTCGCTGTCTCTCTCTCTGTCAAATAAATAAATAAAACCTTTAAAAAGAAATGGAGAGGTCTTGATTTTATAAGATGATTGCTTGTGCAGGGAATAAATTCATTGTCGTTTTTGAATTTAAGTATAGTTCTAGGACAGCTTGAAATTTTCTTTGTATACTAAAAGCTGTTATTCTGCATTTTTCCTAATATGGCATGACTTTTTTTTAATTCATTTTTCTTTCTTCTTTTGTTTGTATAGCTTCCATTCTAAAGCAAATTACCCTGCCAGGAAATAAGATTCTGTCAATCCAAGCATCTCCTATTCAGAAAAATAAAGTAAAAGAGAATGGAACAACATCCTTCAGGTAAAGAAAATAAATAGTTAACATTGGTCTGGTTAAAGGAAAAGATGAATGAGTAATACTTAATATATTGATGCCTTTTTAAAAAGCTGACAATACTTTATTGAGTATAATTTATAAACAAGTGCACAAACCTTAAGTGTATAGTTCAATGAATTTTGATAAACATATATCCCTGTATCATCAAGATACTGAACATACCCTTCACCTTCATGCTCTTTTCAAATCAATGACCTCTGACCCCTGACTCCAGCAGCTGCTATTCTTATGTCCATCACCATAGATCATTTTTGTCTGTTCTTGAACTTCACATAGATGAAAAATTACATTAACCTTTTTGCATCTTTTTTCACTCTGCATGTTTTTGAGATTCATCCATATCATTTTGAACATTAGATGATTGTTCTTTACAGGGGGGAAGTATTCTTTGTATAAATGTAAATCTCTTTATTCTTTTTCCTATTGATGGACATTGAGTCGTTTCTGGTTTTTGACGATAATATGTAAAGCTGCTGTAAACATTTACATCCAGATTTTTATGTGAACATAGGTTTTCGTTTCCAGAATATGATTCCTGGATCACTAGGGAAGCGTTTGTTTAACTATTTAAGAAACTAAACTGTTTACCAAAGGAACTGTACCATTCTGCATTTCTACCAGCAATGATGAGTTCATTTGCTCTTCAATTTTGTCAGCTTTTTGTATTGTCAGTTCTTTTGATTTTTACCATTCTAAAAAGTATATTGTGGTTATTTTGTGGTTTTAATTTTCATTTCCCTGATGACTAACGATGTTGAGCATCTGTTCTTGTATTTATTTGCTATCCATATACCTTCTTTGATGAAGTGTGTGTTCAAATCCTTTGACCAGTTTTTCTTACTGAGTTATTTGTTTTCTTATGGTTGAGTTTTTAGCATTTTTTTATGTATTCATGATCCAAGTCTTTTGCCATGGTAGTGATTTGGGAATAATTTCTTTGTAGTGTGTTCTATCATTCTCTCACCAGTGTCTTTCACAGAGCAAACATTTAATTTTGCTGAAGTTAAGTTCATTGTTTTTCCTTGTAAATTATGCTTTTCATGTTTTATCCAAGAAATGTTTGTGCAACTCTAGCTTACAAAGATTATCTCTTATACTTTGTTCAGAAGTATTACAGTTTTAGGTTTGTCCTTCTTGTATTGATATTCTTTAATTTCTGCCATTACCTATATAAATATCAATGTGTGGGTATTCTACTTTCTTCTTCCTCAACCTTCTCCCAGTTCTAGTTGCATTATTTCTTTGTCACAGTATAAAAACATTTGTGCATTAGTCTTTCTTTCTCATCTCCACCTGCATTTTAGTTGTAGGTCTACTTTTATATTAAAATGATCATCTTCAGTCCTTTCTCTGAATTTTTCATAGTTATCTCTTGGTTGGATGAAGTTCATCTACTCAAGAAAGGCTCATTTGGTATAGAATATGCTAAATTCTTGTATGTTAAAAACTGATTTCAATGTCCTCCATACTTGAAGGACCACTGGCTGGATAGGAAATTAACATTTTGTATTGCATTTTTATTTCATATTGCATTTTTAAAAATGCTTCTCTACTATTGCCTTAATATTTATGTTGTTTTTTATTTATTTGATCTTTTTGTCTGAAGGCCTTGAGAATTTATCTTTAAAATCTAATATCTTTATATTAGGATGTACTGTGAAATATGGACCATTCTTACTTCACTTTCCTAGGTTACCAGTTGGCCCTTTTAATATGTAGATTCTGATCTCTTGAAATGTCTGTGAAGTTTTCTTGGATTATAGTTTGAAATATTAGTTCTGGTCCATTGTTTTATGTTTTACTCTTCAGGGAATGCAGGAGTATGGATTTTATTCTTTTTATCTCCCTTACTTTCCATTATTTTGCCTCTGATCTTTTTTAATTTCTTTATCTCCTTTTCATTCCCTTGGTTGTTTTTATACCTTTCTTCAATGCTTATTAATAGGGTTTTGGTTGTATCTATTGGCCTATGAAAAACCTCTTTGATTCTCTTGTCTGCAGCACTGTATAAATTTTCCTTTCCCCGGGCGCCTGGGTGGCTCAGATGGTTAAGCGTCTGCCTTCGGCTCAGGTCATGATCCCAGGGTCCTGGGATCGAGTCCCGCATCGGGCTCCCTGCTCCTTGGGAGCCTGCTTCTCCCTCTGCTTCTCTCTCTCTCTCTCTCTCTCCCTCTGTCTCTCATGAATAAATAAATAAAATCTTTAAAAAAAAAATTTTCCTTTCCCCATTTTGGTCCCCACCCCCAAGCTTACACATTTAAGTCTACGAGGTTCAATTGAATAGAGCTCATACTATGATCTAGTAGGACATCTTTTTAGTACTTTCTGATTTGGGATGCGCTTAGTCTTCCTGCTAATAGAATATTTCATCCTTATGCCTGCCATTGCCACCAGCTCTCTGACCTCTTTACAGCAGTTTTACTAGTCTGCTTTTACCACAGGCCTTGAGTCAGATGAGGTGGGGGCACATTGGGTGGGTGGGGCAAGGAGTGGGTGGGTGGGGAACTGTTTGCCCTTTTTTCATTTATACTTATTTTGAAGTTTGGGTATTCTTTGTCTTTGAGTTATGCTGAGGTTGTGGTTTTCCTTGTTCTGTATTGTTTTGGGAGGAAATGTTAGAAGATGGACATCTAGGCAGTCATCATTGTCTTCCAATACAGTGTGTTTAGTCTGTGTCAGTCAAGATACATAGACTATTTTCAACACCCCAAAAGCTTCCTGGTGCTCCTTCCTAGCCAGTCCCCTTGTTACACTCCAGCTAGCCACTGACCAGTTTCCTGTTATTGTGGTTTAGATTTCTTTTTTATTTTTTTAAAGATTTATTTATTTATTTTAAAGAAAGGGAGGAAGAGCAAGCTTGAAGGGAGGGGCAGAGGGAAAGACTCTCAAGCAGGCTCTCCACTGAGTGGGGAGCCCAACATGGGGTTTGATCCCAGGACCCCAAGATCACGATCTGAGCCAAAACCAAGAGTCAGATGTTTAACCGACTGAGCCACCCAGGCGCCCCTAGATTTATCTTTTTTATTTTTTTATGATTTAAAAAAATATTTATTTTAGAGAGAGTGTGCAGGGGGAGGGGCAGAGAGAGAGAGGGAGAAGCAGGCTCCCCGCTGAGCAGGGAGCCTGATGCGGGGCTCGATCCCAGGACCCTGGGATCATGACCTGAGCAGAAAGCAGATGCTTAACTAACTGAGCTACCCAGGTGCCCCAGATTTGTCTTTTTTAAATGGTTGCCTTTTTAAAAATTGTATGTTGATTTTATAATTATTAATCAAGTTATTCTGCCATTACCAGAAATCATAACCTCCACTTCTTTTTTTAATACATTTTTGTTATCTGGTGGAAGTATCTTTTTTGGGGGCGGGGGCGGGTTGGGGCAGAGGGAGAGAGAGAGAATCTTTAACAGGCTACACACCCAGCACAGAGCCAAGACAAGGCAGGGCTCGATCTCACAACCCTGAGATGATGTGAGCCAAAATCCAGAGTCTCAAGAGTGGGTATTAACCGACTGAGCTGGTGGAAGTATCTTAACTCCTGTGTTCTTGACAATTAATCATCATCCTTATTTCTAAAGTCCATGCCTGATATTCCTAATATCCATGTTAACTGTAAGTCTCTTTCTTTTACCTGGCTTTTTCATCCTATTTCTTGGTGTCTACTTAGTAATTTTTTTTGAGTCAATGTCAAATATGTTTAAAAAATAATTATAGGAGTTTTGGATTAGTTACCTCCAGAAAGAGAATTTACCCAATTTTCTGGTTGGCAGTAGAGGAGCAAATTGCCTCAATATAGTCAGTAATTGAGCTGGTTCAAAGCTAGGTTGTAATCTTTCCAAGGTTAGCATATCCCTTTGGTTCTCCTGGCCCTTCCCCTCAGGAGTTTCAGCTAAGAGTTAGGGTGCTTCTCTTTGCTGGATTCTGAAAATTTTTATTTCCTCAGTACTTTAAGAGTCCTTAAAACTCACCAGGCTTTTGTTGTTGTTGTAAACTGTCTTAATTCTTTTTCCCCCGTTTTTAAAAAATTTTTGGAAAATATGCATCACATAAAATTTACCATCTTAACCATTTTTAATTGGCATTAAGTACATTCACGTTGGTATGCAACCATCACCACCATCTATCTGCAGAACTCTTTTCATCTTATAAAATGAAACTCTATACCTTTTAATCCATTAGTCCTCATTTTTCCACCCCCCCATCCCCCGCCAGCCCCTGGCAACCAACATTCCACTTTTCTGTCTGTGATTTTAACTACAACAGTCTCATGTAAGTGGAAATGCACAGTATTTGTCTTTTTGTGGCTGGCTTATTCCACTTAGAATAATGTCCTCAGGGGTTCATCCATGTAGCATAAGTCAGAATTTCCTTCCTTTTTAAGACTGAATTATATTCTGTTTTATATCCACTCATCTGTCAATGGACACTTAGGTGTCTTCCACATTTTAACTATTGTGAATAATGCTGCTGTGAACATGGGCATACAAATATCTTCAAGTCTGTTTTCAATTCTTTTGGTTATATATCCAGAAATCGAGTTACGGGATCATATGGTATCTATTTTTAGTTTTTTGAGGATCTGCCATGCTGTTTTCCACAGCAGTTGTACCATTTTACATTCCCATCAACAGTGCACAGGAGTTCAGATTTCTCCACATTCTTGCCAACACTTGTTATTTTCTGGTTTTGTTTTCTTTGACAGTAGTGTTCATAATAGATATAAAGTGATACTTCTTTGTGGTTTTGATTTGCATTTCCCTAATGATTAGTGATGTTGAGCATCTTTTCATGTGCGTATTGGCCATTTGTATATTGTCTTTGGATATTTTCTATTCAAGTACTTTGCCTATTTTATAATCAAATTTTTTGTTATTGAGTTTTATATTCTGTATATTTCTCCCTTATTGGCTGTATGATTCGCAAATACTCCTTTGTGGATTGCCTTTTTACTCTGAAGTTAATGTCTTT